TTTGCCATTGTTTCTTCTGCTGAGGATATCCAGGAACAACAGTGTGTTGTTGTTTTCTTCTTCCTTTGTGAATTTTATTCCTTTGAAGATGTCAATTTTTTCATGTGTCTTCTCTAGTTGTTCCTTTTTTATTATGATGAAGGTGTCATCTACATAGCAGATCTATACTTTAGGTTGTTATGTGTGGAAGTGCTATAGTTTCTAGATGCTGCATTACAGTCTCTGCTATGAGTCCTGAGAGTGGTGATCCCATGGGTGTTCCTCTGGTTTGTTGGTATATTTGTCCATCAAACTGAAAGTAGGTGGTGAGGCAGAGATTGATGAGGTCCATGATTCTGGTTATTTCAATCTTAGTGTATTTGGCTAGGTTGGGTGAGTTGTGTAGTACTGCTGCCATGGATTCCTTGGCTAGTTCTGGATCTGTGGATGTAAAGAGTGCTGTTATATTGAATGAAACCATAATTTCATCTTCTATTTTTAGGTCTTTTTTTCTGGAGGCACTATAGTGGGGAGTTGATAGAATATTCGCTCCCCTTTATGAGATGTCCAAGCTTTTTTGTAAGTTCTTTGGTTATGTTGTATGTTGTGGTCCCTGGTAACAATACAATTAGACAAAGAAGTATGTCAGGCTTGTGTATTTTTGGGCATCCATAGAAACCTGGGAGGATGGGTCCACTGCTTTTCATCTGCCACTGTTCTTCTTTTGTGATTTGATCTTTCTTGGTTAGGTCATTAAGGGTTCTCTTGATCAGGTTATCTAGTTTCTGTATCAGGTTGGTGTTTACTGGGATGTAGGTTTATTTTTCCTCCAGTAGTTCTTTGGCTTTTTGTATGTATTCTGTTCTGTCCATGATAACCATGGTTCGGCCTTTGTCTGCTGGGAGGATGGTGAAGCATTTTAAAGAAATGCTAGCAAATACGTGCCAAATATGTGGCAAATATATGCCAAATGTTTTAAAGAAATGCTAACAAATGTGTGCCATCTATTATTTATAGGGTGGGTTTTTTTGGTCATTTTTAGTATAATGTCTGTGGGTAAGCATGAAGAGCCAGAGACTTTGATATTGCCAGCTTCTCCTGAGCTGCCTACGTCCCACAGTCCGCTTCCTGCAGAACCTGGGGCTCCATCGCCTTCTGTGGAAACGCCTAGTTCCGGCCCCTCAGAAGAAAGCAGTCCAACCGCCACAGAAACTGAGGCTGCAGACAGGCCAATTTCTGAAGGAGAAGTTCTATACAGCTATGGTCAACTGCTAGCTGCGAAAGGTGATGCTTTTTCTGACTCTTTATTTTTTAAAGAACTCTGTATCCAAGAAAAAAAAGTCCTGACATATATCCTACAATAATGCAATTCCAAAAATAACTTCGTAAAAGTTTTTTGCTGGTTTTATTTTTCTGGAGAATACAATGAGAGGTTTTACATATATAAGAAGACTGGTTTGATACAATTCTGGGTGAATCACTCCAGACTGCAAGGCTTGAGAATATCTTTTACACAATAAAAATGCCACAGCTCTGGAAAATGTTTTTGCAATGTGATGCATTCTCTCTTCCATCCCATAGTTTTTGGGTTAGAATGAAGTAATTGTTTTTGTTTCCCTCATGGATATTGTGTAACCAGATTTGACACGATGCCCTGGTACAGTCACATTTATGAGTCCTAAGAGTCTGCATTACTTGAAGGAAAATGAAGAACCCCTTTCAGATTAAAGGGGAAGAGGATGATGCCAAACCAGTAGCAGATTTGGAAGAGTGATTGCAGCAGACTTGAGCAAAAATAAATTTTGAACCTCGCCTAGAGGGAGTTTTTCCCATCCATCTCAAAAATCTGTTTTCCAGATATATGTGCAGACAAAAATCCAATTGCAACCTGTTCATTTCATAATTGTGTGTTTCTCAACTTTATAGGTTTGGCAGAGGGAGGAGTATCTTTTCCAAACCTCAGTGACAGTTTGGCCAGCACTCTTCATGATGCCCATGAGATGGTAATAAAATCACTTAATAATGAAACAGTGAAACAAGCATGATGTTGTAGTCTAATGGAGTATGTCGTTTAGAGTGTTTCAGTAATTGACAATTTTGTTTAAACAGTAAATGTAGAGTAGGAGATGCATATTGGCTTATAAAATAGAAAAATGATCACACTTTCATCATGGCAACCAGTTTGCTTTCAAACGTGTTAAACTTCCACCACATGATGTCCATTCCTAAATCCAGGTTGATGGGCTAGTAGCAAAATCTCTGGGAAGCCCAAACCAAAAATATGCTTCTTAAGTTGAAATCAGTACTTTATTTACAACAGTAACTAGGTGTTGACACAGTATTTTATTGGCTTTGTGCCCAAAATTTCAGTGTACCTCTCTCTTCTCTGTTCTTGTCATATTTGCCTCCAGTTCCATCGAAAATGTAAAATAGAGACTGACCTTGGTGTGTAATTTGTTTGAGTGGTAATTCCAGTATTGTCTAGAAAGCTGTGATCTTTAGGAAACTATGTCTTCCTATGTTCTTTTAGCTTCCTCCTTTGTGCCATTTTCTTGAAAAGACAAGGACAGTAGGGAAGATGGAAGCAGGCCCAGTATTTGAATATGGGTGATGTTATACAGGTAGTCCTCAGTTAAGATCATTCATTCAGCGATCGTTCAGAGTTACAACCACACTGAACAAGTGGTGATTATGACTGGTCCTCAAAGTTCTGGACATCCTAGCGCCCCCATAGATCGCGAACTGGGCACTTGGTAACCAGCATGCACTTACAATGGTTGCAGCGTCCCATGGTCACATGATCATGATTTGCAACCTTCCCTGCTGGCTTCCCACAAGCAAAGTCAATAGGGAAACATGCAGGGAAGGTCACAAGTTGCTCAGGTAAGTCTCCCCTACCTATGCACCCTCCCTGAGCCTTGCTATGCACACACTGCGCCTCCCTTGCCACTCAAACACCTCTCCCACCCAGTAGCATCCACACCAAGTCCACTACACTCATGCCGCACCTCCCCCACCACTCATGCGCCCTCTTCCACCCAGCAGCAGCCACTTATACCTGTCTGCCAGCCTGCTTGTGAGCTGCCTGGAACTTGCAACTTCCTGCCAGCTTACCCATTGACTTTGTTTGTTGGAAGCCAGCAAGAAGTTGCAAAGAGGTGCTTGCTTAACAACCCACAATCCTTGCTTGGCAATGGGGACTGCAGGGATTGCCATTGCTAAGCAATGCAATCGCATGACATTGTGCTTTACAACTGCATTGCTTAGCAATGGAAATTCCGGTCCCAGTTGCCGTCATAACTCGAGGACTACCTGTATAACTGTTGACCATAATCCAGGTTGGTCCATGTGCTGCCAGTTTCTAGTCACTTCTAGTTATTGGGTAAATGAGTGGATTTAGCTCAGTGATAGGACCAATAAGGTGTATGCAAAATAAAATCCAGATTTAATTAGCAGCATCTCCAACTCAAAGACTATTGGGTAGCAAGGATGGCAAAGATTGAATCAACTATGCCCAATCTGATATCTCCAAATTAACTGGAATTGCAACTCCCAGCCTCTGACTGTATAAACTGAGAATTCTGGAAATTGCAGTCCAAATATAGATGGAGGGTAGAAGATTGGGGAAGGTTTTCCAAGAATGTTATGTTTATTATTTATTTATTTTATTCAACTTGGACACAGCCTGACTCCAACATATACATATAGATATGCATACATGTATATATCATGTTGTAATAAGGCTTCAGTGCCTTTCCTGATAAGTGTTTTAATGCTCCAGTTTCTTTAAGATGTTATTTCATTTTGAGAGCCCAGATTGTCAGAAATGTGGTTAACCTTTTATGAGTAGCTTTGGGGAGAAAAAAAAACCCATTGTATCTTTTAGGATTACGATCCTCCCAGTGAGGGGCAGGTGATACGGAGACCTCACAGAGGACCCCACAGGGACCCAGTCCTTTCTTTCTTTTCAAAACTAAATCAAGCACCGCTTGCTTTGCATGAAGAGATTCGCCACTCAGAGGTACCACTTATTTCTAATTCTGTTATAATAGGAGTGGGCAACTTTTTTCTGTTGAAGGCCACATTCCCTTACCATGATCTGTGGAGACTTATTGGTGGTGGAGCTGAAGCAAACAGTGGACAGGAATAGATTTCAGGTGAATGGGGTATCTATTCTCTTACAAAACCATCTCATTTGTAATTAAATTGAGGACTGCATGACATTAGCCAGAGAGCTGCAGACCACCCACCTCTGTTGTGTGGGTTGTTTCATAGCAAGGAGGGCACAGCCTTTTCTGGACTGATGGCTAAGCTTAGCTTTTGAGTGACTTGCTGGAGGTAAGCTCTAAAACACAAGGGCTTGATGGGCTAGTTCCAAACTAAATTTGATTTCATTTTATTTACCTGTAGTGTTAGTAACAATTAAATAGTTAATATGACTATGTAAAATTGTCTATCATTACAACTTTTGAAAGTCTCCAAGCACTACACCCAAAACTTTTAAGAGTTGTATACATCCTGGTGCATTTATCTTACAGAAAAGGTTTCTTGTGATTCTAGTACAAGATGTCATATTTTTGAAGTTATTCTTGGGCAACATTTTATTATGCTTGTCTCTTTTATGGAGAATATATGAATCTCAAGGCTCAAGAGCATCTTTGTCCTTTTTTTCCCCCTTGCTTCCTTCTTTTCTTCTTTAAAAAAAACTGCCCAGAGTAGGCAGCATAAATAATAATAATAATAATAATAATAAATAAAAAAAGAGCTCCTATGCATGCTTATGAGTAACTTGAGAATTCTTCTATTCCATCTTTTTTGTAAACAACAGCGACTTCTCTTGTGTCACTTAAGACAGATTCCTTTTCACAAAAAGAAAAGAAAAGGGAATAAAGGTAAATTTATGTTCTCCTCCCTCCAATCAGAATTCAGGGTTGTTTTTAATGAATAAAAAATAAAGGAAAGGAAAGCTGACCTCCCCTCCCTCCCATTCAATTTGAATTCTCCTCCCCCTTCCTTTCTTTGACTCCATTTCAGTGTCCTCTCTCCCTGCCTTCACAAGTGAGAGCCACTTCAAAGTGGAGCAGACATTTGACCCAGCATTAGGAGTAGTAGCTCCTCTTGCTTACACCTCTCTCTCTCTCTTTTTCTTTAGGATACTGACAACAGTGCTGGAGAACTTAGCGAGGGTCAAAGACCAAGGCTGACAGAAGCTGCAGAGAATATTTTAATGGGACATTCTGTTCACATGGGCCAGGCTACCAGCCAGGTTTCTAAAGAATTAACTCAACAGATGCGATCACCTGGATGGTGTAACAAAGTTGCAGGTATTAGTTCATATAAATTATTACATAGTATTCAAATAGATCATAGTATAGCTTGAAAAAGTTATTACCAGTTTGCAACATAAAACCATGGGTTTAAAACATCTGGGAAGGTTACTTCTTAATTTTGTATGCTTGGAGACAGGTAAAACCTAATGCCACAAGGTATGCTAATTGATATTTAAATTATGTAGGGATCATGTAGATTAAGAACATTAAAAAAATGTAGCTTCTGTGGCTCAGATTTGCTGGCTTTTAGAGAGTGAGACAGAATGTTCATGTTCAGACTGGTATACATTACTCTTTGGAATTTGGAGCTGCTATTGCAGCATATTTCTTAAGATAGGCTCCATGGTTTAAATCCTGAATTTCTGTTACCAATCAAGCAAGAGCTTAGGCAGAGGTCATAGCTCAATGGGGAGAGCCCTTGGAAGGCAACAGGTCCTGTCCTTGGCTGTAAGATAATAGGGCTGAGTAAAACCTTTGCCATGACCTTAGAGCCATAGCCTCATGAAAGGAATCTTGATGAGCAATTCTGTAACAAGCACTTTCCAGTGTCGACATATATGTTTACGTTTAATATTTTCAGGAAGCAAATACTTGAGCTTCTCTGTACAAAGTATTTTCTTGCTTCAAGGGTTCTTGATTTAAAACAGCCAAAGGCAGCACAGTTAAAATAACACACTCAGCACAGAACACATTTTTCCTGGGGAAAAAATGGAACTCTTGATACCTGTAGTTGCAACTTTTCATGCTAATTCTGTAAAAAAATATGAATAATGTGCAGCATGAAGTTATATATCATTCCATCAACAGTTTAGGGTAAGTGCCCATATTTTATTTCAGTCTTGCTGCTTGCACTATAATTTAGAAATATTAACAGTTAAATAGCACATGAGATCATCTGGTTATAAAGATTACATATTTTCAGAATCTGACTTTATGCACAAGTTAAAGAAACACATATTAAATGAGTTTTTTACAATAGGCATTAAGCCTGGATAATTGGAAATAAAAAAGCATGCTAACTGATATGATATAGAATACCTGGTATTAAGCAATTATAACTCTATCAAGATTTCCAATAAAAATCAATATTTGCAGTGGTTAATATCTTAATATAAAAATTCAGCTTAGAGTGAAGTATTTGTTTAGTAATTGCCTCGTTTAGTGATGGTTCGCAGTTATGACAATGATGAAAAAGTAACTAATACCAATCCTCACATTTATGACCTTTGCTGGTCTGTAAAACAAAGGACAGCTGAAGTAAGATCATGATTGTTCACTGCCCAGAGTCACTTGTCTGAGATGGGCAGCTTTAGAAATTGAAATAAATAAATAGCAAGCACAGTCATGGGTTTATTTAGTGACAGCTTCACTTAACGACCAAGTTGCTAGTCTGAATTGTGGTTGCTAAATGAGGACTACCTGTATAATATATTTAACACAGCTGCTGTTGAACTATGGGTAGTCCTTGGGTTACAACTTGGGACCAGAATTTCAATCACCAAGTGAAGCGGTCGTTAAGTAAAACATCATGTGACCACGCTGCTTAATGACAGCAGTTCTGGCAGTCCCAGTTGTGGTCGTTAGGCGAAGACCTCACGCTTCTCCTACCCTGCGCAAATTGCCTCTGCTTCAACTCCCCCCAGCCTATCTCTCCCCCACATCTCTGCCTTTTTGGCTGCCCTGCACTCACGCTGCCTACCCCTGTTGCCACCCCCAGTTGACCTTTGCCATTTTCTTCCTCCTGCTCTGGCCCAGGATCAGCTGCTGGGTGAGGCACAGTCCCGTGATGCACGTGGCAGGGTGGCAGAGCCTCGTCTGATGAAGGGAGCTTGCCAGGCCAGCCATCAAGGAGGCACTGTGATGGAGCCAGTGGAGGAGGCCAGGTGGTAGTGCAGGCAGAGGAGCCCAATCTTCCACTGCCGATGCAAGGAGCAATAGCCTGTAAACCATGTAAATGTGGTTTATCTCTGTGTCTATTGATGGCTAAAACAACACCTCCCGCACAGCCATTGATAGCCATCAATGCACACTTAGAGATCAATAGACACATTGGCCATCAATAGACACTGAAACAGCACCTCCTGCACAGCCATCAGTAGACACATAGAAATCAATAGATTCATCAGCCATCAAAAGACACATAGAGATAAACCACATTTATACACCATTCAAAAGAGACAGTGAAAAAGCTAAGAAGGAAACAAAAAGATCAGAACACATCCTCTCCAGCAACCTATACCCAGATAAGCAGTGATTAACACCAGACAAACAATCAAGCAGAAAACAATACCCTAATCAAGGGACTACCAAGGAGAAAACTACATCCCCACCAACACTGGCAGGGCAAGCTACTGTATATAAACAGGGAGCAAAACCCACACTCACCAGCACTGATGTTGTTACCTAGTTGGGTAATGAAAAGTCTGCAAGCAAACAACCAAGCTCAGAGCACTAAGGATTCCACAGTTGAATTCCAAGCTACATATATTCGCTTCTATTGAAAGGGGTGTCTGTTCAGTGCATATATTCACTACATAGTGACTGGAATTTTGTGGATGCAAAATGCCATCTTACATACGCAGAAAACTGTGATGGGGATTTTAAACATGCTTAACACCATTTTTCCTGCATTAAGCCTGCATCAAATAGTGTTAAATAAGGCTTAAAATAGTGAAGAGATGGTTCACTTAAAATAGTGAACAGATAGTTCACACCAAAGTCTTTTAAACTGAGGTCTGAGAAATCAAAGACTTACTATAAATATCTCATGTATCTGTAAAACTAAGAGAAACAGGAAATATATAATAGATTTAAATGAAGGTTGTCTGATCATCTGAAGTAGAATTGATGAAAATATGCAGGGAAGTGAAAATGTAGGTTTAAGTATGAATGAAAGGACTAAAATTATGTCAATAAGTCTTAATTGGTGTCATTTGTGAATGAAAGTAGGAATTCATAGGTTGGTACAGTGACTGGTGATAATGGCAGAATTAAGAGCGTTTTGGGGGAAATTGTGCAACATTCTAATGACTGCAATCCAGGGAAGATTATTTCCATGAATAACATAAATAAATGAGTGAGAACAAGATGAGACTATGGTAAAGGGCCAGTTTGGTCTAGTGGTTAAGGCATCAGGCTAGAAACCAGGAGACTGAGTTCTAGCCCCACCTTAGGCATGAAAACCAGCTCAATGATTTTGGGCCAGTCACTCACTCAGCCCAACTCACCTCACAGGGTTGTTGTGGGGAAAGTAGGAAGAAAAAGTATCAGGTATATTCACCACCCTGAGTTATTTATAAAAATAATAAAGATGGGATAAAAAATCTTTAAAACATAGTAGAAGTGATTGGGCCATATGGAAACTGAATGAATGACAATAGGATTGTTTGATGAGTATCTGTATAGGAAAAGGTCTGTGTTGCATACATGTTTTAAATATAAATCTATTTATGCATACACATGTCAAAGGAATGAATGTAACTCTGAAAGCATAATTTATTTGTTTATGATGATAGACTGAGAGAATTAGTGAAGGATGAAAGGATGATGAGATGTTTTGAATATGGAACAGATCTATTTTGTTAGTGTCAAGAGTTGGTCTGGTGAAATATGGGCATGAAAGAAAAGGAAAGTAGTGAAGGAAATAAGATTGAAAGTAGGACAACTGTAGGAAGAAAAAGTAAAGACCATGTATGCACTGTTGTGCTATTACAATTAAGGTATAATGTGTAATTTAGGGCTAAAATTGCCCCCATTTTGTGTGAGCCAACTCTCCATGAAAACTTTCATTGTGCTTTTCTCCCCATAAGTAAGTATTTTAAAAAGGTAATATTAAGAGATTTATGACTAAACTTTGTTGATGGCAACTTAAACTAGTTTAGGAGTTTCAGTTTCAAAACATTTTCTGGCTGTTGGCAAAATTCCCACCAGTTATTCCAGAAAAATCACGAGCATGCATGTAAAGAAGTACAGTGAGCTATTCTGTTAACATAAGGGTCGTGTTCAAAATACAGTGAGTATATGAAATATTTGCTTCTCTTGTCTGAGAGTAACCTACAATGAACGTAAATAGCAGTGCTTCAGCCATATGATCCCAGGTACAGGAGAGAGCTGTCAACCCATCTTTAATTTACTAGGTGTGCACTAGAAATGGTAAAATGTTTAAATAGAAACTCTGTGTGTTTTAAATAAGTTTTAATCTCTCAGGAGATGTTCTTGGATTTCCTGATGTTACTCATGGGCCAATGAGCATAGCTGAACTTGGTCAACCTGACTCTCTAGTAACATATGGAAACAGCAGAGTGACATCTCAGTTGAATGACTCATTACAGGTAATATGATTGAATATCCATTGCCAATGTATTGGGCTGTTTTAATATTATTTTAAATATAGAGTGCTCCAATGGATGTAGTTGTCCTAATGACCCAAAGCCAAGAAGAGGTGTTCTGGACTTTGCAAAAGCTTATCTGTACATTAGAATGCAACCTCTTCCTACACTTTTTAGAAGATTTCATTAGAAGTAGAATCATATACTTTTTGTGTATTATCCTATTTCATATTGGAAGTGGCTTTGAAGTGTTGTTTCTTTTATCATAATCAAAAAGTGGTGTTTTGTCAAACCAGAATCCACATAGACTGAAGTTGAATTCAGATGTTATAGGTAGTGTTTGTTGGCAGTCTCACTTGCCATGGAGACAGCTGTCTAGATTTTGTTTCTTTGCATGGAATATTTGCATCTCATTTCTCATTACTAATTCAAAAAGTAAATGCACATAATTCACATAAGTAAAGATCCAGCTCAACTTCTTGTCATTTCTTAGTCCCATCTACATAGTTTTTTTTAGTCAGTAAAGGTGGTGAAAAGTCAATATTTCTCCACCTTTATTGCATCCACAGTTAGCCATCCAACAGCCCTGTTTAGAGAGGCCTGGTCCCTCCTGGAATGGGGGAAGCCAGAGGTCCACTTGCAGGATGCTGCGAGGAATACACTAGGCATCTGTCAAATAAAGTGCCTCAGATTCACTTCCACTTGGACTCTGGCATTGAGGCAGTTCTGTGGAGGTGACTGAGGTTCAGTCTGGCTTGGTTATCTGGGATAACCTGTTAGTCCTGAGGAAGTGGATGAGGTCCTTGGAACAGTGAGTGTGGCCACTTATGTATTGGATCCATGGCCCTCCTGCTTAGCTAAGGCTTCCTGAGAGACAAGATGTGGTAGGGCCTGGTGGTGATTAATTCATTCTTGAGGGAGGGTGTAGTTCTGCCTGTACTTCAGAACGCAGTGGTTCACCTTCTCCTCAAGAAGCCATCACTGGACCCAGCTGTGTTGGAAAACTTTCTCCCTGTCTCCAAACTTTCCATTTTAGGGAAGGGTTTTGAGAAAGTGGTCGTGCTTCAGCTTCAGAGAACCCTGGAAGAAGTGGATTGTTTGGACCTCTTTCAGTTGGGTTTCAGACATGGGTATGGGACTGAAAAAGCATTGCACTTGTAGATGATCTTTGGTAGGAGCAGGATGGAGTGGCACATCCATCCTTGCTCTCCTTGACCTCTCATCAGCCTTTGATACCATAGTCGTGGTACTGGCTTCAGGAGCAGGGGGTACAGTGCTGTCCTGGTTCTCCTCCTTCCTCCAGGGTTGGTTCCAATCAGTGTTGATAGGAGGAGAGAGATTTAGACCATGGCCCTTTCTCTGTGGGGTTCCTCAAGGTTCGACACTTTCTCCACTAGCATCTACATGAAGCTGCTGGGTGAGATCATGCAGTGGCACAGAGTGAGGTATCATTAATATGCTGATGATGGCCCTTGGTCAGCCATGTGATGCTGTGAAGGTTCTATCATAGTATCTGGAGGTTGTGGGGGTCTGGATGGGGAGGAAGAGAGATTGCCCAGGTTCTAAACACATATCCACAGACTACAGTTTTCATAAGGAGGTTGGAAATGGAGAAGGAGGAATTGATAGCAGCAAAGGCTGAGCCTGACCCCCAGGTAAAAGCAGAAAGTAAAGAGATTTCCCCTGATGCCTGGCTACAGATTATAAGAACAGTAGGATGAGGCAAGAAAGAGTGGCTTAGGGTGTTAGGCCCTCTGGATTCCAAAGATTTTCTGTCTTAGTTCTGGATGAAGTTGCCCTAACCCAAATAGAACCAGTTCACATTTGGGGGTCTCCTGGACTCACAGCTTGTGTTTGATGAACAGGTTGGAGCCATACTAGGAGGTCTTTTGCACAACTTTATCTTATGTGGCAGTTGTACCCTTTCCTAGAGCAGGAAGCACTGTTCACAGTCACTCGTGTCTCAGTCATGGATTACTGCAATGTGTTCTACATGGGGCTACTCTTAAAAACCATTCAGAAGCTGTTACTGGTCCAGAATACAGCAGCATGGACAGTTAGGGGCACTCCTCAGTACATCCATGTAACACCTCTGCTTTGCAAGCTGCACTGGCTTTCAGCATGCTTTCAGATTCAATTCAAGTGCTAGTTGTTACTTATAAAGCCTTATATGGCATGGCATTGGATTATTTGTGGGACTGCTTCCCTCCAGTTGTTTCTAACGGGAGGTCCAACAGGAGAGACATGTTATGGGTACCACCTAGGGAGACCCAGAAAATGGGCCTTTGGAACACTATTACCCCTGAGATTCAACTTGTCCCAACCCTGCCAATTGTTTGGAAAGCGTTAAAGACTTGGTTATGTTCCCAGGCTTGGGGATCAGTAGGTTGGTTTGTGCCCAAGAGATGTGGCTTTTGTTGTTTTGGGTGTTGTCTTGGCAGCCATTTAGGTGTATATGTGTGTGTAGATAGATATAGATATGTTATGGAACTGGAGTGGCACATATTATTGCCTGTGTTTGTTTTTAAATGCTTTTATATGCTTTCAGCCACTCAGATTCACTGTGGCGAGTTGGGCGACTAAATAAATAAATAAACCATAAGTGCGTGATTTGCAATTAATTTCTTCCAGTATATTTTTTAAACTTCCCAGTTAGCCAACACTCTTAGTGTTTTCTCATTCCCCATCCAATCAGATGTAACCCTGCTTAACTTTTCAAGATTAACCCAATTTAGCTAGATGCTGCCATTGGAATTAATAAAATAAAACTAAAGAATTATCTCAAAGGCTTAGCATAAACAAGGATTTTGCCACTTTTGAAAGGTATCTGATGACAGGAGCATCTCCTAAAGAAGGGCACCTCACTTTATAAGAGCAATTACTAAGAATTACTGTTCTTGGTAGTTGGTATGGGTAGATCCACAAAATGTGACTTCTCATATCCTCTGTCACTCATTTCAGAGTAAAAAGAAAGTCTCTGTGTTCAGAGTGAATGATACAAATCTACAGTCTCATATGCCTCTTTATTCCAGATGGCATGGGTGGCAATCATGGGCTAGGGCTTATTTTATCAGTTCTGTTTTAATTTGTGCTGGAAAGAAAGCTTGGACAAAGATAAATGTGGAGAAATGTGGTTTTTAAAAATTATTTTCCTGAAGTTTGTTTGATTGTAAGTGATCTAGTTAGATGCCATAATCTTAACATGTGTTTCATAACTGATATACAGACAAAGCCCCAAGAGGCATTGCAGCCACTACCAGTGAATTCCAGAGTCATCTGTGTGAAACCAAAATCCAAGATTACACAACAGAAAGGTAAAGTATTCTGTTACTATATTTGAAATCTGATATCCTGGCCCATATTGAACCATCAGATTTGGGAGAAGTGGGTGTTAAGTTTAAAGTAGAAGGCTGAGTATATTTTTGTCACTCTTCTTAACACATTGCTTGAATAGCCAAAAGCAGGTGCTCAAGGTAAGGAGTAGATAAGTGGGTGAAGTGAAGGTCTAATAAGATGCATGGGAACAGGCTAGAGAGTTCCCAGTTCTCTCCACTCTGAACAGGGCTTCCAAGCAATCCAGTTCAGAGAGGGAAAGGTCTTTCTAAGGCGTTAAAGAATGTTGATTTAGAACAACGAAACTCTTATTAAATACTGTGATGTATTTCATATCCGAGAGCTGGTCTGGTGTAGTGGTTAAGGCATCAGGCTAGAAACCGGGGTACTGTGAATTCTAGTCCTGCCTTCGGCATGAAGCCAGCTGGGTGACCTTGGGCCAGTCCCTCTCAGCCCTAGGAAGAAGGCAGTAGCAAACCACTTACAAAACACTTGCCAAGAAACTGCAGGGACTAGTCCAGGCACTTGCCAGGAATCAACACTGACTCAAAAGCACCATCAAAAGAAAGAAAAAAGAAAAATCATATCTACTTATGTATTAGTTTACCTCAATTTTGCAAGCTGTTAAAATTCAGTGGTATAGATATTGAGAGAAATGCTAAGTTGAGGTTGAAAGATAGATTGCAGAACCATGTTTACTAAATCTGTTTTGAGATTCTGAGTAGAATTTTTATTTTTTTCAAAGTTTCCTGAGGAATGTTAATGTAAATGTATCTAGCAGAGTATAGAAAACATATATTTGCACCTTATTATATAGCTATACTTGTCTGAAAACTGGGATTAGCAGTGGTTTCCTTGAATGATCTGTTTTGTAGTAAATCCACATTTGGTGCTGGAGAGCATATGAAACAAATTTTAGCCAATCTGCTTGTATCTGAGTTCTTGACCACAAGATGGCAGTGACCTGTGCTTATAAAGGAGGAAGGGTGGAGATTTCTTTTTCCATGTGTTTATGAAGAGAGCTCCTCTTCTTAAAAAATAGAGAATGACACAGCCAGAAAAATAATTCCTGATGCTAATGTTTGTTTAAGGGATAACTGCTTTGCAATAAATGCCATATAAAATAGAATCTAATTAGACTGAGATGTAACAGGATAACTGGAGATATTTATGATTTTATGGTAAGGTGAAGTCTTGTAACCATAGATCAGTTGGGGATAGTTTCAGATTACAGCCCTTTTCGGCGTAATAATGTGCTGTGTTGGACATGCAGGGGGTTATCCTGAAATTAGTAAGTGATTAAAAATGATTTTACATTCAGACAAGTTATCATGGAAATATGTATTGCATCCTTGATTACTGTTTGAAGGTATATATAGTACTCTAGGATACCAATCTAAATACTAAAACCACTTGAATAAAACTAAATAGAAGCACTAAAATGAATAAAAAGTCAAGAGCTCTTTACAAAGCTGTCACTCCATTGCCATCTTTGAGCCTATATTCAGTGAGCAATATATAGTTGTCTATAAGTTTATAAAGAATGACATACTTCTTGTTTTAATCAAAACGTGTGTGTGTGTGTGTGTATGGATGAAATGTTTGTGTGTGTGTGTGTGTGAGAGAGAGAGAGAGAGAGTGAGAGATTTTTTACATTTTTGATGTTACAGATATGGCAGTTGTATTTACTGTAGTGTATTTACCTGAATGGTAAAGTTGAGGAAAACTACTTCAGGTAATAAATCACTTGAGAAATGTATCTTTAAAATGGTCTGAAGATTACCTTACATTCACTGAGAATACAGTAAAAGAAAGAACTTGCTTGCTTGCTTTGCATAACCTTTATTTTTGGGTGGCATAAGATAATCTTTAATTAAGGATCATCTTCCTTTTGGATAAATTTGGCTGTATTTCTAATAAAAATCTTTTGTATATACTTTAAAAATACATCTTCACATGGAAAATCAAAATTCAATAACTATATGTGTGTGAGTGTATGTGTATGAAATATAGCTCTGTGTGTGTGTGTGTATGAGTGTGTATTTTTCCCCATATATGTATATGTGTGTGTGAGAGAGAAATATAGGGGGGGTGTATGTATATTTACAAACTATATTTCATTATATGTTATAATTAAATATTATATAAATATAATATTGTGAAGTACACATATAATCCAAAGTGCAAAGAAAACTAACTGATGAAAGTCTTATTGGAAATTATTGCAAGGGTAATGTTTGTTCAGATAAGAATTTATTAATTTTAATGTGGAACATGCTTTTGACAAAATTACATAAGGTTGCTAGACTTAGTGGAAATATTGGGAAGCTTTAAATTTTCTCTGGCTTTTGAATCTCTTTTAAACTTTCTCCTGTTATCTGTATTAAATACTGTCTGTGTCAGTGATTTCTAGTAAGAAAACCATATAAGTTGTTAGTTATGTCTGATACCAGTGATCTCTAGATTTGCCAGATAATTAGCTTCTTAACTTTTTAATTGACCCTTGCTTTACACTCAGGGCTTGTAGTCAGGTGCAAATAAAGAAGCTGGTTTTATCCTGTTGATCCTACAACCTGGACAAAGTTGCTTTGGTCTATGGGCTGGAGATTATTGCTTCCGTTGCAATTAATAAGAGGCAGACATTGGGCAGTGCCAAATGGAGAGGCTGTGAGAGGAGGCTTTCTGTCTGCCACCCCAGTACTTTAAAAAACAATCTGTGCTTGACAAGTCCTGTTTTCTGGAATGTGTTTCTACACATTCTAAGTATCGGCACTCTCAGATTGTAGTTGAGTTATACAATATAAAGGCAGGATATAGCTCTAATAAATAAAAATAAACGTCAGTGGTAGGTTACAGAAAAGGATTCAGAACTTTGGCCTTTATCTGTCACATTTTTTAAACCTTGGATCTTGTGAAAACCTTGTTTGCTACAAGAATCTTGATCATTGAGCCAATTTTAGTATTGGACCAACTTCCTATACCAAATACCATATGGGTTCTATCAGGCAATAATAGTAATTGTTACTTGGCATTTAAACTGTTGGACCTACTTTGTCTGCATTGTTATCTATGAATATGTTAAATGAGAAATCTTTAGCAAATTTAGCAAGTATTGTAGCTATAGTGATGAAATGGATGGTCAAGAGAACAATCTTTTTTTCTTTCTTTTTTCTATTTTTTTTCTATTTTCTATTGTTTTTATTGTATTTTAATATTTATTCCTGTTTTATTGTGAACTGCCCAGAGTCATTTTTTTGTGAGATGGGCGGTATCTAAATTTGAAATATAAATAAATAAATCTGTAAAAACTTACAAGATTTCTGTGCAGTACTGAAAATAAGAATTGGAAGCTAATATGCATTTGCAGAACTCATTTCTTCTGTTAATAAATTGTTTAGCTTTGCAAAATACTTTGCTGCTGTTGTCTTGTCATTAGTCAGAAATTATTCTAATGAATTACAGTTATTTTAAATTCCTACCAGATGCTTCAGTTGGAAGTAACAACACAGTCAAACTGCAAAATTCAAATCAAAATTGAAAATAATAGTTTATGGAATAGTTTTCTTTGATTTATTTTTGGTTTTTGGTGTTTTTTTTGATGATTGCTTTTGAAGGACAGAATGATGTGACAAAATATGCCGTGTTGCTTGAATCAAAAGCTTGCAGTATAATAGGGGAATCATTAAGTAGCACAGAGCAATCAGTAGCAGAAAGTAAGTTTTGGATGGTACAAAACTGGCTGAAATCAGAACCTGGGACAGCTCCTATGGACTGGAAGAACAGAATTGCTTTCCAAGACTCAGTGCAACATAGGGCCTAACCACTCTCAGAAGCTTAAGCAGAGTTTGAAATAGTAATGAGATGTGTTTAAATGGCCTTGGATTTGACAGGCTGATTTAACAGTTCTTAAATCTAAAAATTTGAAACAGATAATTCCATATCCAAAATCTAACAATTCCTCCTTCCTCAATTAGGGTTTTCTCCCAGATTCTAATTACCAAAGATTATGAAGCCATGAGACACCTAAACTTAGTGATTGTTATAAGGGAGAGCTTGGAACTGGATCAGCTTCATAGTTTGGTTTCAATACCATGCATATTCAGTATTCACAAAAAGTAATCACCAACAAAGCAAAAAGTAAAATCACATTTGAATTGATCTCCTGGTGATTTACATGGACTCAGCCATGCAGTTTTCTTAATATGATACAGAAGTGGTTTGATATTGCTATCTTCTAATTTCAAGATGATGTCAAGACTATTACCACTTTTTCAAAGATAATTCATCCATTCTACTTATAACCTGCCATAATTTGCTAGATTACTGCCTGTGCTGCTGCATTTTGGATCAGCTGAAGCTTCCAGGTGGTCTTCAAGGGCATCCCCATGTAGAGCGTGTTGCAGTAATCAAGCCATAAGGGTATGAAGGGTGCCCCAATCTAGGAAAGGGCACAACTGGCACACCAGATGAAGCTGGGCAAAAGCCTTCCTGGCCACAGTTGCCACCTGCTCATTGAGCAGGAGCTGTGAGTCCAGAAAACCCCCAAATTGTGCCCCATCCTTGAATGGGGAAGTGCAACCCCATCTAAGGTCAAAGTTGGAATATCCCCAGATCTGGATGGGCCAAACACCCACAGCTCCGCAGTCTTGGTAGGATTGAGTTGGAGATGGTTCCTCCCCATCCAAACCTGCACAGCCTTCAGGCACTGGGACAGAACCTTGACAGCCTCACTTAGCCAGCCTGGAGTTGAAAGATATAATTGGCAAACTGGCAGATGACTTCACCCAGCGGTTTCATGTAGATGTTGAAAAGGTGGGAAAAGAGAATAGAACCCTGTGGCACCCCACAATTGAGTGGCCTAGGGGATGATCTCTCCCCACCAACCAGCACTGACTGGAATGGGCCCCGGAGAAAGGAAAGGAACCACTGTAAGAGTGCCCCCAATCCCTAACCTATGGAGCCGGCTCAGAAGGATACTGTG